ACTATAATGCAAAAGTTACAGATTCAGTGGCCACCAGTCTTATGAAACCGACGTTAAGGGAACAGAGGGCTTTTTTATGCATCTTGGTTTCTCATTGCCTGGATGAGTATGAATCAAGAAGAAATTATTTAAAAAGGTTTGAAAGCAGCTTTAGACACATGTAAATTAAATGTATGCCAGGAATTCAGCTTTAACCACTTGAAGACCAGGTATTTACACCCCCTTCTTGGCCAGGACATTTTTCAGTATTCAACGCTGTGGTACTTTGACTGACATTTATTCCGTCATGTAACGCTGTACTGAAATCATCATACCTACTCCAGGACTGGGTAAAGAAGAGGAAGGAGACTTCGCAAGTTCCTTTAGACTTTTTCACTGAGGCAGGTGGGCACAGAGATGTCCCTCGAAGACCAAGTGGGTGAGGTGTTCACTGGGTGCAGTGTCCGCATCCCAGAACTTTAACCAGAGTGCTTTGGCAACTTGTATGAACAACAGATAATACTAGAGACAAGCCTAGAAGCATCCAGCAGGCCATCACTGCTAAACTGTAGGTCTCCAGACAAATGTTTCACATGCTTTATCAGAAAAGAACCCACTGCCACCGGGATTTAGACCATTCTGCCACAACAAAAAATAAGGTCAATAAAAGGATGAAGGGTAGGGCCAGCCAGTGAGAACAGGGTTTTAAGGTTGGATTCTGGCTGATGATCAGTATAATCTTTCAAGTTAAGAACGCCTTTTACTCACTTGGTGATTTACCTGTTAAGGTGGGTTACTGGCCGAGTCCTCAGGTGGCGAATGAGATACCTCCCTTGCCTCCTTGACTGATCAAGTGCAGGGAATGCGAGCTGATATCACTTTCCTGAGACATGATTTGCAAAAGATCAGAGAGAGAACGACCACTGTAGAAGGCAGGGTCAGCGACCTTGAGGATCTTACTGCTCTCCTGGTGTCTGATGTTAAATAGACTCTGCAACGTACTTCTGCTTTCTCTGACAAAGCTGATGATCTTGAAAAATTGCCTTCGCAGGAACAATATCAGAGTGGTAGGCATCCCTTAGTGTCACGAAGGCAACATTTTGTGGAGGCCTGGCTGATCGAGACTTTTGGTAAAGATTTTCTTTCCTCGCTCTTTGCGGTAGAGAGTGAACATAGGGTCCTGTCCTCTCCCTCCCGGAAATCCACCTAGGCCTATGCTAATTAGGCTGCTTAACTACCGTGATAAAGAACATATTGTTCGTAAAGCCCGTGAAATGGGTGAGATTTTCATAGCAGGCTCGAAAGTAATGCTATTCCCTGATTTCTCACAAGAAATTCAAAAGAGATGTGCCAAATTCCAAGATGTTAAGAGACTACTTCAGCAGCTACATTTTCCTTACTCGATCTACCCAGCTAAACTTAGAATTGTGGCTGACGGCAAGACCCACTTCTTTGAGATGCCTTCTCAAGCTTCAGCCTGGCTGGATAAATTTGCGAAGAAGAAACCGCCTAAATTCTGTTGTCGCTGGTCCTACAGCCATTCCTGAGCTCTTCTTCCCTCCTTAACTCAGGCTTGTGTAACCTATGGCTAGTTTTACACCGAGGAATTCAAGATCCCTCATGATTAGATGAGTGCATCTCTGCCCTTTTTGATGGTAGTTACTTTCGTAATACTACTGGATCTCCCATTTTACAATGTTGGAGCCTCAAGAGGTGTAATTTTACCCCCAGTTTTTCTCCCGTGTGGACTGTTAGTTTTTTCTTATTTTGTTTTTGTTCTCGTTTTTCAGGTTCCTGTGTTCATCAAGGTCTGTGGCCTCACTCTCGACATCATGCTTGCATAGATGACCATTCACCCTACTGGGAGACATCATTCTCTTGCCTACTAGAGACATCCCACGTAACTATTTTTGTTCTTCACCTTAGTACGTTTTTTTTGTTTCAATAGTTTTTATTGTTTTCCATTATAAACATAAAACATACATAACACAGTTGCATATCTAAGATGCTAAGAACAGTCGCCTTCTTGGTTACATTCGCAGTTTCGTTACTACGTTTTAACTGTTAACATGGAGATCAATCAGTATAAAGTTAGCATCTTAAAAGGTACTTGTCGAAAGGGCCAGAGTGCCCTGTCTTGGAAACAAAAGTGAGAAGGGAGAAGAAAGACCAAAAGAAGTAGAAGGGCTGGGTAGGGTGGGGAGGGAAGGGGATCTGTGGCAGTGGAGTAGTATCATCCGGTCCTCGGGTCAGGGCATCCACTTTAAAGTGACGTTAGACTCGTAAGGGGGATGGTTGGGTGTGCATGTGCCCACCATGGGTCCCAAACCCTCCGGAATTTCTCTTGAGTGTCTGTCAGGATACTGGATAATTTTTCGTTAATGAAGAATGAGTCAAGCAGTCTACTGACCCCATTAAAGGGGATCTGCTGTTTCCTCCACGCCTGTGCTATCGTTTGTTTGGCGGCCAGGAACATAAAGACTGCCAGTTTATATTTGGGGTTTGTGAGGTGTGGAGGTTTAAGGTGTAGTAGGGCCACCCTTGGGTCCCCGTTTATGTTTGTATGGAGGATTGAGTTCAGTAGTCTGAATGTTTTGATCAAAAACCGGTGTACCAATGGACACGTCCACCAAATGTGCATTACATCACCCTTCGCTTCACAACCTCTGAAACATTTGGCTGATTGTTGAGGGTGGGAGTGGGCCAGTCGAGCTGGCACCATGTACCATCGCATCATAGACTTATATACTGTCTCTAGTGAGGTGATGATGGTGCATGATGCTGCGGAGGCCCAGATTTGTTGCCACTCGTCCTCACTGACTGCCCCACGTAGGTCCTTGTCCCAAGCTCTGACATAGTTATGGGCTGACTTGCTCTGGGCTGAGTTCAGTTGAGAATATAAAATGGATATCAGTTTGGGTTGCCGGGGAGTATGGTAGCAAATATGTTCCATTAAGGAGAGTCGAGTGGTGGGCACTCTGCCGGCGAGGACAGACCCCACCCAGTGTCTAATTTGCAGGTATCGGAAGAATTCTGAGGGGGGTGCGTGTGAATCCGCCCTCACCGAGTCCCATGTGCGCACCCGCCCGTCTTGCAGTAGATTGTGCAAGTATATTATGTTTTGGGACTTCCACCAAGCAAATGCCCCAGGTGACTGCAGTCCCGGGATAAAGAGTGGATTACGTATTATGGGCTGTAGTGGGAGATGGGGGGAGATTAGTTCTCCCTGATATTTGGTGTGATCCCACACTCTGACAGTCTGGTTCATGACAGGGGTGAGGGTTTTTGGCCTCGCATTTGGGGGGAGCCATGGGAGAGCCCTGACTGACGTTGGGGCACAATATATGCTTTCCAGATCCACCCATAGTGGTCTCAGAGAGTCAGAATACAAGTTAGTTATAGGTGCTATCTGGGCTGCCTGGAAATATTTGTGGAAGTTTGGAAGACCCAACCCCCCCTTTTTTTTGTGTGTGCACATGGTGAGTTTCGAGACCCTGGATCTGGTGGCGCCCCAGGTGAATGCGAGTATTTTTTTCTGGAATGCGTGTAGGATTCTCCCTGGGATCGCCACCGGCAGGGTCCGGAAAAAGTATAGTATCTTTGGGAGAATGGTCATCTTGACCGAACCTTAGTACGTTTTTGACATGCCTCGCTACTTCATTTTTTTTTAACTTTCATAATGTCTGCATGCAATTTGGGACTGGTTTCCTGGAATGTCCGGGGACTGGGTGACGTTATCCAATGTCGTTCAATATTTGAATATTTACTTACCCATCGCCCCTCCATTATCTGCTTACAGGAGATGCACACTAAATTTAGAAACGTATAAACAATTGGAATGTAGATTTTGCCAACAGGCTTTTCATTCTTGCTTCTCCACCTATGCCAGATAAGTATCTATCCTTATTCATACGTATGTTCCATTCTCCTGTAGGCAGATGAAGGTGGATAGTGGGGGTCGCTTTGTATTTCTCCATTGCCATGTCTTTGGCAGGGAATATGTTACTGCTAATCTATACATACCTCCCCTGTACAACAATGCGGTTCTTAAAGAACTGGCCACCTTATTGGCTGATAAACTCCCTAATCCCATTTTGGTGGTGGGGGGACTAACAACTACACGGATCCTGCTTTTGATAAATTTCCTAACACTAGGGGTGGATCTTCCCTGACGGCATTTGCCAAGCTCTGTGAGGAGTTGGCTTTAACAGATGTGTGGCATATTAGACACCCGACTGATTTCCAATTCATCTGCCATTCTAAAACCCACAATACACTTTCCTGTATAGATGATAGACTTGTTACGGCTGAGTCTTTGCCTCTCATCTCCGATGTTACCATTCAACCCAGATGCATGTCAGACCACTCCCTGATATATGTGCAACTTTCCTTTGAGCATCGGCTATCCTCAGCTTCCTGGCGTTTAAACCCCTTTTGGCTGACGTTAATCCGGATAATATGCCACTGGAAGTTGACATCTCGTCTTTTCTGTACGTGAAGCTGCCCTCAGCTTCCCTGTTAGTTGTATGGGACACTCTAAAAGCTTACATGCGGGATCTGTTTATTCAGCGTGCCAGTGTTATTAAAACCAAATCTAGATGTCAGGAAGTGGATGCACACCAAGCAGTGGCAGATGCCGAACTGGTGTACATCCGAGACCCTTCTATTCTTACTTGTAAAGAGTGGACTGCTGCTACGGAAGCTATAGAAAATCTGGTAAAATGAAAATCTATGTATAAATCTTTTTTTGTGAATCAGTCCTATTGGGCTAAGGGTGAATTGACTGGCAGGCTTTTGGCTCAGATAGCAAGGTCACAGCAAACTGCTACGTTTATAGGTTCCTTTAGAGATTCTGATGATACTGTATCCTCAGATAAGAGTTACATTCTTGAGGTATTCGCTAAGTTTTACACTGCACTATACTCATCTGGGGCTGACTACTCAGACTTGAAGAGGTGATTTTCAAAAATTGGGGCTATATTGACACTATCAAAACTAACAGCAGTATGACATAAACTTACCATCATTAGGCACTCCTTGCAATTCAATCATTGTGGTCTTTGGCTTCTTTTTTGGTGGCTGACCTCCATCTGAGGAAGCCTGACGCTTCTTTTCTGCTCCAGCTCCATCTTCACTCAGTGACATTTGAACTGTATCTGGGGGAGGCCCATAAGGGTTTTCCTCAGGGTCCTCTACCTCAGGTGCAATTGGAAGGTACAGTAATGCCTTAGCATCTTCTAGTTCCTCATCACTGCAAGGATGAAAATATACTTTTTATTTTAAATATGTTTTGCAATATTTTAATTTCTGGATCAGAAATGGTGCAGAAACCGAGAAATTATATGCATCAATTTGATAAAACTGTACCATGAACAACAAATGAAAAAAGCTACATATGCATATAATGCAACAGCAAAAATACACATTACAATATATATTTTTTTCTATAAATTGAATACCAAAGAGTTTGATTTTCATATAGTTTCCTATCCAAATGGTTTTCTTGGATCTCCAAGTGATGTGACAAAAGGAGCCAAGAATATTTAAACTAGGGTTGCACAGATACCAAGTACAGTACTCGGTACATGTACCGATAATTTTGAGCTCCAAGACTACACTAGAGGAAAATTCAAAAATTAGGAGGCAGCTGTCATGTGTAAGGAGCACACGGAGCTCCTGGGATTTGTACATCTCTGTTTTAATGTACGATTTAGTTTTTATAACTATAAATAAAGTGATGCACAGATACCAGTTTTGCGAGTACGAGTACTGGTACTTGCCGAGTACTTACAAGTCCGAGTACTGATACATTTTTGTTTATTGCCATGTGACAGTTTTTCTAAAACAAAAACAGACTAATGATTTCAGGACAGTGGTGGAGTGCCAGAGCCAGGTCCCAGCTGCAACCGCTGCAACCCTGGTAGTTCTCATGAAAATGCCAAGTATCTGCACTGGTACTCAAAAAGTATCTGTGCATCCCTAATTTAAACATGCAGTAAAATTGGATTTTTGTATTTACCATAAAACCCATTTTTGGAATTCATTAAGGGACACAGGATTCAGGGACAATTGGGTTACACTCTTGTCAACAGTAGGATGTATAGCCACTTCCACTACCAGCTTGCCTCAGCAATACAGGATAGAAGCAAGATCATAGATACAGAGGGTTGGAACCTATGTCCCTCAGGCGCTGCTAGCTCAGGTAGCATGTCTAGCAATTGTTTGTGCCCGGTACGTGAACAGTGGATAAGGCCGGGCTGTGACGTTCTGCCGAAGACAGAATCCTTTATACTTCTCTTGCGGTGACAAGAGTCCTGGTTCCTCCATGATGGTTGACTGTCATGGCATTATCCGACTGAATCCTGATCGGATGACCCTCCAAATCGGGATCCCCAGCACTGTAAGGACAAACAAATCCCTCAGAGCTCCAAAATACTGATCAAAGTCCTCTGTCCCAACAAGGTGTTTAGGACTTATCCCCAGCCTGTCAGGCTGGCACCCATTGTGAGAATCTTTTCAGAGATCTATGGGAAGGATTACTCTAACTTCAAAACCAACTCCTAAGCCACGAGGCATGTAGCAATCTGGTCCTCTGTCAGGCAAAATCTGTTTGCCCAAATACTGAACAGACTTGTCCTATGAAGACAGGATGTTGAGTTGCAGTGTTCCAGAGTGGAACTAGGCAAACAAGATGAGTCGGATCCAACGCCGATCCAACTGAACCTTTTCAAGGTTTGTACTATCCATGCCACATTGTAAGCCAGAACTAGTGCCATGTGTTGCCTTAAAAGATCATTCAGATATCTCACAATGTGGATAATCTGGTAGTGTAACACTGCTAGAACAGGGGCCAGAACCTTTGTGAAAACTTGAGGGGCAGAGAATAGGCTGACTGGCCAGCCACAGACTAGAAGTGACCCACAGCAAAGTGAAGAAACCCCTGACGCATGGGACAAATGGGGACATGCAAGCATGTATCCTTGATATTTACAAGCCTCTGTGATTGAGGGAGGCTATGACAGACCTGGCAGATTCCATGTGAAATTTTTGGACCCAAATTAAGACATTTAGAGCCTTGAGATCCAAAATTGGACGGCTGTCCCTTTTCGGTTTGGAACTGGAAAGGTTGGCGTAAAACCCCTGGAACTTGTCTGCAGTAGGGACTGGTGTGGTAACCCCTTTATCCAGAAGATCTGCAAGTGCTGCATGGGGGCCTACTAACCTGTGTGGGGACACGGGCAGGTTGGAGGACATGGCCGGGGGAGGGGGCAGGGAGCACAACTATAGCTCAGAGCACCTGGAAATCACCCGTCATACCATGGCATCCGAGATGTTATCTGTCCTGGTGTCAGCAAAGGCTAAGAGGAGACTTCCCCTATTTTGGAAAGCAGGTTGAGGGAGTGTAAAGGCACGGTTGTTAACCGCATGAATCGCGGCAAACTGCGCATGCGCGAGAAATCGCGGCAAACTGCGCATGCGCGAGAAATCGCAGCAAACTGCGCATGCGCGGGAATGGCGGCAAAATGTGCGGGAAACCACACAGGAAGTGAGGTAGCTGTCAGTATCCTGGGACTATTTAAGGAGGAGTTAGCCTCTCTTTCATTGCTGATGGTCTTGTCAGCTTGCTGTGTTGTATCCTGTGTTCCTGTATTGTTTAAAGCCTGCCTCTGACTCGGATTGCCCTGGACTACTCTCTTGCTTGCTGCCAGCCCTTGACCCCGGCCTGTTTCCTGGACCTTGAGATTGCCTTACGTTTTTGTACCTTGCCTGCCCGACCGGATTTGACCTTGGCTTCCTGACCTCTCTTCTCAGCTGCTCCCACGCAGTGTTCGTTTCCAGTCTTCGGCACTCGTGCTCCTCGTTGCCCTGCGCCCTTCTGTTCCAAACTCCAGGGGTCGCAGGACGCGAACCGCAAGAGGCGCCTCCCCATCTTCCAGTCTCAGCCTCAGGTACGTGATAGGGAGCTTTGCCATCAACTGAGTATCTGGCTTGGGTGGTTGAGGCCTGATAGTAATGAAAGGAACTATTTTTTTGGACTCAGATGGAGGAGGAGGAGTCTTACCTGTCTGAAGTCTCAAATGCACAAAGAGCTATCAAATACTTAGAAGTAGTGAAAAGCTTAGCAGGAGTGTACCAATCCGCAATCCTTATAAAGGATGTCTGGGACTAACAGGCACACCAGTCTTTGTAGTCTTAGAGCCTCTAGGAGGTACTAGACAGGTAGCAGCACTGGTAGACATTTCAGCCTGTTCTATCAATTTCAAGGCAGTGCTCCCAGCGTCAATGACAGCTAAAACAGTCTCTGGGTGTAATAGCAACTGCCTGAGGCCCCTCAGGGGAAAAATCCATTAAAACTTTTTTGGACCCTTTCTGGGGGACTATGCAGCAAAAGAGTCAGTCAGAGGGCGCTAAAGCCACAGGCAGATCAGATATAGATTCTGTAAGGGAAGGTGTGGAAGTACACTTTTGGAGTCAGCAATCAGGGTTGCAGTTTGTCCAATAAAAAGCTGCATAACTGCCGTGAAATCCTCCTGGGAGAGAGCCCAGGAGGGAGCAACGCCTGGCAGAGCTAAGGAAGACTCCGAGGAGTGTAGGAACACAAGTTGAGGAAACACTTTCCAGTCTTGCGGGGACTGTTGTCTTTATTTTCTGAGGCAAGCTCTTAATCCTGGTGATTTCCTTCATATAAGTGTCTAAAGATTCAGAGAAGAGACATTCCACTGTGAAAGGAATTCTTTTAAAGTACTACTTGCAGGCAGGCTCTCCAGAACAGCACTTCAGTCAGAGGATCCTGCACATCTGGAGAGACAGAAGGCTCTTCCTGGATATTTGACAGAGTGTCCCCCAACCTGTCCACAAAGTGGCATAAAGCCAAGGGAAGGAACTCAAATTGTGGGAGGACAGACATATCCATGATAATGGATTGAGAACCAAGGCTGTGTCTTTAAGCTTGGGAGAAATAGTAGCTGAATTAGCCCCCCTCTACTTAAATCTCAAAATCAGAAGAGGAATTCTTCCTCTCCTCCAGCTCTGGAAGAGGGTAGAATTTGAAATTGTGGGGCAGCAGTGGGGGTCCTTTCGTAGCCTCTGCATTGAGGTCTCAAGCCAAAATATGTGCATCTGAGGGAGCGATTCTGACTGAGGACAATGATCAGTGGCATACAAGGGCCCATAAGGGAGGGGTTGTTGACCCTCCCAGAGTGGATGGCAGACTGTGAGCTGGCAAGGCTCTTGGTCCCAGTCTCTGTGTCTGTGATCTGTTATTGATGATGTGTTACATAGTACAGCGCTAAACGTCCTTCAGTGATAGATATACGAAGATCAAACTGTTATGATCCCAGCATGAAGCATTCATAAGAAAAATGTATGAAAAAGTGTCAATCACATCTATATAAATGAAGTGAAGAAATGACAGTGTGCGAAAGGATAATGATCCAAATTGAAACAATGTGTAAAAGACGACTGTTCAGTAGAGAGAAAAAATATGTATCAATTATACACCTTGAAAAATAAATACATGTTTTAAATCTAAAAAAGTGTTCAAAGCATGTGTCTTGTGTGTAAATTAAACATACATCAATGAAATGTAAACAACACTCTACATAAAAACTGTGTAGATAACATTAATCTAAAAATGTATGAATAAAAAATTAATTAAATATATATGTGTGTGTGTGGGTAGTCAAAATTGACTGAGTCTTTCAAAGTCTTAAAACCCAATAAAAGGCAAAAAAGACCCCCACAGTGAAATCGGGTGCGTATTCCAGTTCAATGATGTGTCCAACGAAAAACCAAAAAAAAAGACCAAGAAAATCCCCTCAAGGGAATGCACTCACCGGATCTCTGATGTTAAAGAGCCGTTTGTCTCGTCAGATGGTAACCGGAGCTGTGTATCCTCTTCTCCCGCTCAGTGGAACTCCAGGGAAAGAAAAAGAAAAACCTCCTGTTTCTCCGGGATGTTAAACCAGGGATCTCCGCCCTTAGAAGTCCCCGAGGTCAGATATCCAATCAGGCAAAAAGAATGAAAAATACGCTCGTAGCGTAATAAATTCCAAGTTTATTAGGTCAAGAAAATATATAAAATAGCGCTAAGGTAAAATCGTATAAAAGCCGGCTGGTCACTCAAGCGTGACTTCTTAGACTGGAACAATGACGTGAAAATAGTTTTGTCACACAGACGTTCTCAAGGGATGGCAGGTCTATTCAAGTCATGATCCAGTCTGTTTATATAGGTTATATTCTCATCCTTAA